AGAATAGGATTGTTGGTTTTAGAACTTTATTTTCATTTCAGAGATATATATTGATGTCTAAGATTACGCATTCCTTAATTATGTTAGCTATGAAAACACAGGTTCATAAAAAGTAAGCATTAAGGGGACATGACACAAAATGATAAAAATATCTTAATTCCATTTGAGCACTATAAAATTCAGAACAAGTATTTTTATGTAAAATTTTATTAAACTCATTTTTTTTTATAAAAAGGTATTCTTTTTTTTAAATTCTTACTATTAGTTCACACTCTCCCTTTGTATATATATATATATATACAATAACTTGTTTATTATACTCAGATTTAGCGCGGGCCCTGTGTTTCTGTTTGCAAATTTTAGGTAAATTAATTTTTTTTTCTCAGAATGGATTTAGATTTCCTATCCATTATTTTCAATAGGTTTTTGCTCAGTATTATTAACAAAAAGTGGGAAGGGGGTGACATATTTTTGAATAAAATTACTGTTAAGCAAAATGCCAGACGTAAACAATGACAGCTTCATTTCGCGTAACCCTATTTGAAGTTAACATAATTTTTCCAATTGTTACCTTTTTCGTTATCTATGCTAGTCATACTTTGTGCGCTTTTATTTGTAAAAATAAGAGGGGGAGAAAAATTCGTACACGGCACGTGATCGTCGACCTATGTTTCATACCCTGGAGAAAAAACTTGCTGCATGATGATTATATATGTATTAAAAAATCTTGATGAGTGAATGTAAAATTTACAAACTACATGAAAACTTGTGCTCAGACACTAACTTTGAAGGATACGTGTGACTACTTTTTAACTCTAACGGAATAAGAGTTCCATTGAAAACTCCCCAAAAGTTAAAATATTAAAACCGCTTACGCATGGCTAACAAAAAATGCCAAAAAAAAGTTTTCCTATGCTGCGTTTTTCTGAGATTAGCAAATCCTTAAGACCCCGAACCCCTTTTTTTTAATGAAAAAAGCTCCAAAATTCTCGGTTATGTGAAAAAAAATCGTCATTAAGAAGCATTTTGTAAAAAAAAAAAAAAAAAAAAAAAAAAAAACGGTTAAAAATATTTTTATCCAAAGATTGTCATGTTAAATAATAAAATATCAGCAGAAAATTCGTACGATTAATATAGTCCATGAATCATTTGTAATTTTCGAGCCTTGAAATTGTATATTCTAAAAAAAGCGTTAATGCCACCCAATGTTATTGATGTGGAAACTTGATGACCGGGGAGTCACATTTCAAATACTATTTAATTTACTGCTTGTATAATCCTAAACTTTATTCCTGTAATAAGATAGATAAAACGCTAGTGGAATTATGTGAAATTAAATCTCTAGCAATGAAAAGTCTCGTCGTAAAATATTATTTGTGATTGTTAATTATTAATATATTTTTTCAGGCTTGATTGATATTACAAATAGGCATTAATTAAAACTATTTAGTTGACTAATATTGTAAGACTGTATCACATGATGCTTCTTTTTTAATTTTATTATTTTGCAGACAAAATAATCCTTTTGAAAATAGAACCATTTGGAATTTTTGTATTTGATAAATTCAATTCAGAGAAAATTATTAATGCTTAAAATATTTTATTTTTCCATGTAATTCCATACCGGGTCAGAAAAAAAAATATTACATTAAAAGAACAATTATTTCATAAATATAACACGACAGTTCTTTTTACAAATATAACAAAAACTAAAATAGAGTTATGCAAAAACTATTATAAGGCAGCTTTTTAATATAGCTTTCTTTACCCATCTCGTTAATATAATTATATTTAATTATTGTTTACTTAGGTCACAAAATAATTACCATGATAAATTTCAAATTATTCCATTCATACATCCAGCATTTGCTTCCCTTTCAACATGCGAGTACTCAGTTCCATACTGTTAAATCTCAATGAAAAAAGATTTGTTTATCTTGAGCAAAGCATTCTTTTTTCTATCAACGGAAGTTTATACTTCTTTCAGCATTAATTCGAAACATTTTTCCGACAACAATAATTTACAAAAATCTGTACCATGAAAAAGAGATTAATATTATTAGAGTAAATTATTTGTCAGCTAATCCATTACGCTATAATTTATCATTTCCTGGACAAAGCCGGAATTTTTCTCGTCTTGAATGACAGTTAACTACAAACAACACGTTCAATTAATTAGTCTCGATTTATTTAAGCTATCGTTTGCTTCATCTTCTTTTAAAAAGACGAATGCGCATTATCTTGCATTATCTCGTACAGTGATTGAAGATAATTAATCAGTTTTTTAAATGTTAACTAATCACCTCTAGGGGGGAAACTTTTTTTTTCTATTGTTAAAAAAATTCTGAATTTTTCTCTCGCTTTCTCATGTATTTAATCTGAATTCAAAAAAAAAATATATAGTAGAAAAGACAACCTAATATTGTAAGCAATGCTTGGTCCATGAAAAATATGTATGAGCGTGTTAAAATTTCTGATATTAAAGTAAGGCAGTACTTGATGCTTAAAACTCCATACACATGACTAGGAATGGAAGTTTGGTGCAGTGTCAATTAAAGGGTCTATTTAAAAGATTTTCTCTTTATGGGTGAATGAGGCACAAATTCGTGGTAGGTAGGCACGCTCATGAGTACGAGCCCTAATGCAACTGAAAACCCTCCCTGTACAGGGGCTGATGCACGTTAATGGTTTAAATGAGTGAGTGAGGGTTTATTAAAGTCGAACTATAAAACAACAAGAGAGGGATTTTTTTTATTGTGAAAAAAATTATAAAATCCCCGTGCACCACAAAGCATCACACAGGGCGTACAAAAGTAAGTATTAATCCCACATTACAAAAGAACGAAGGAAAAATTTCCTTGTGGTTATGAAGGATTACAAATACTTACAACAAATTCACAGAACTTTTTAAAAGCACTTCTGGTGGAAAGGAGTTGTGGCTGAAGATTCGGAGGTCAATTTACATTGAAAGCCAGTCTTGGATATTTCGTTATCTTTCAAACTTGGAACACAGAAGGAGCACATGTTCTTCATTTTCCTCACCACCAATATCACAATGACCGGAAGGTGACGGAACTGAATTAAATTTGTTCAAGTAGTTTTTAAAGTTGCCATGACCAGTTAGAAATTGGATTTTTTTTTATAATTAGTATAAAAATGATGGCAGGCCAGTCTCTTACTAATGGTTGGAAAAATTTTCTTTGTTACACTCCCTTTATTTGATGTAAGATATCCTTGGTTTCAAGGCTTCACCATTCTTTCCTTTATAATCTTCTTGTAAATTAATTTAGGAATATTAACGGCAATGCCAATTTTGCGCTTGGTTGCAGCCTTTTCAAGCCACACAATCGGCCCTCTCATTTCCAAAAACTTTCGTGTGTCCGTGAACAAATGCAAAACCTATAGAGATGTTTTTATCTTTTAGTTAGGCTTGAGGGATATTGACCCCATAATTCTGAACCTCTGTCAAGTAACGAAGATGACACCTGAGCTGGCAGACCTCCAAAATTCCACCCCACTCTAATGGTAGGACTTTGAGCTCGATAAATTTAACGTATCTCAGCCCCTCTATACGGTGGGTCTTTAGTGGCACCAAGGCTAAAACTCATGGCACGCAGGCCATGACCACGGCCCCATAGCGTCTAGACTACAGCGGCCTTCAGTCGTGGCTCAAAATATTCTTTTTGGCATGATGTGGAAGCTCGGAGAGGCTTTTACCTTAGGTGTCGACCTCATGCCTTGATTGTGGCTTAAAATGGCAAGATCCGTCGTCAAAAACCCTTGTGCTGCTTTATTTTTGTGACGATAATAACTATTAACTCAATCAACTAATTATAGAACGAAGTTAAGCATATACTAGATGCCTAATGTTTTTGTATATCTTGTAAATATGAAAATCTCCAAAGTACACTAATAAATAATCATACTATTTAAAAACAGGGTCCAATAAAAACAAAGAGAAAGTCCCCTTGAATTTCGTTTAGTTTAATTTTGTGCTACGCAAAGTGTACTGCCGGTAAACTTCAATCATCAATAGGAAAATAATTGAAAAAGATAAAAACCTTGCTTACAATAAAATTGCCATGACTTACATCATCGAGAGTGATCTCTAAATTTAATTAAGAAATTTCAAGCATTTTATAATTAAAACTTTTCAATTTTTTTTGTACATTAAAAAAAGACACATGTAAATAATTGACATTAATTAATCTCGGATGAAAGTTCGGTGTTTTCAGAAGGAGGACATTTTTATAATCTTGAATACATTATATATTCTATATATCTGATTACAATCTGATTATATATTATAAGCGATATTTAAAGTCCTTTGAAAAATTTACTACTAATATGTTTCTTTGATACGCAAAGCTCACATAGAATGGGTAAAGCAAATAATCTTTTGTTTACATAGCCTGCTTAATAATAAGCTTTAAAGGGATTTTTCAATAGGATGATAGAAGCTATATTTGGTATCAGAAAAAAAAGGAGTTATCCTATTTATTGCTTTTTAGATTGCAACTTTAGATCCGTAGATAAAACACATTTTTTTGAACAAAAATAATAAAAAATAAACATTCGGTATCACTTTTTAGGAAATATTCCTTCACATATTCCTTTTAAGTCATTTACCTTTCCATAGGAGACTATAATCATTTAGCCCGGAGTGATTCAAATATTCGTCAACTCTATACACTTAACAATATATATTCTAAATCATTCCTTTATTTTTATTCAAATCCTACTATTAGTTCACACACACACACACACACACACGCGCGCTCCCTATATATATTTTGTTCAAATTCTGAGTAGTTTATAAAATACTTTCTATTTATCCCTTCAAGTTCAAACACATTTTTGTAAACTTGTAATGGATGACACTTGATGTTAATACAATTTTTTCAAATATTAATTCATTAATTAAAGTAAAAAGAGAATAAATTGTAACACACAAAAATAATAGTCTAACTCCATACATAAAAAGAAAAATCGCGCGTTGTATCCCTGTAGCGCAAGGGATAGCGCATTGAACTTCTAATTCAACAATCGTGGGTTCGAATCCCACCTGAAATGGCCTAATTTCTGAAAATGTGATTTCTTTTTCACAAAACTATTTTATTAGAATAATTAAATTTAATGAATGAATAAATAGTAAAACAAAGAAATAAAAGTCCACCACCCCACATATATAGAAAGGGAAATGGAAAATTGCTTTCTATTTTGCCTCTTATTATTGCGATTCTGTGTCATATGTATATACATATTTGTATTAATTGTAATTAAAGTAAAATGTTTCTTAGTTGACCAAGTAGGAATTGACTTAATGTTTTTATATTACTTGTTTTTTTTTCTAACGTTACATTCTAAAATAGCGCGAAGTTTATTGGCAACAGAATGCGTAGTTTTAAAACGCGTCAACTGGCGAGGATGACATCCCAGCTGCCACTCCCTTTTTCCTAACTTCCTCACCACGCCAACGCTAGGACTTTGCACCATGACAGATATAACTTGCATCAGCACCTTTGCACGATAGTTCCTTAGAGGCACAAGGACACGGACCCAAAATTCATTGGTCACAAGTTCATGACCATGACCCCTCAGCTATAGCGTATTCTTACATTTCCAGTAAATCTCGGGAAAAAAGCTTCATTAGATTAAATATAAATCAGTGAATAGCTTTCCTTTTATATGAACTATAATTAGACTTCTTAACTTATACAAAAGATTCCCGGTGTTTTTAACTAATTAATTAATTAAATGGCCTATTTGTGATTATGGTAAGAAAATATTAATATAAATTAAGGAAATCAAAGTGTGTGCGCGCGGAAACAATACATTACGTTAATTACTTTTTAAATATTACAAAATAGAGTTCTGTAGGAATTTTGGTATTGTAGACGTAAAAATGCTTTTTGGTAACAAAAATTTATTATTTTGGTAAACACATAAGAAAAATGGAATTTTAAGCAACAAATATGAATACCGATAATAGAAAATTTATATTAGACCGTTTGATGATAAATTAAACACATTATTAAATCAAACATACTTTTATTTTGGCTGGTTAAGCCTAATAAAATAAAATATCTATTTATAATTTTTTTTTTTAAATTCGTTTGATTCTCGAAGCAGAACGCTAACCTTATACATCAAACAAAATGGAAAACAACCGAACAGGAAAGATAGACAAAGGAAAAAAAGTGAGAAAAAAAAAGAAATTGAGAAAAAGAGAATGTCTGTGTGTGTGTGTAACGCGTAAAAGAAGATACCAGGGTGTGGGTTAATGCATCGTATAACGTCCCACGTTCTAGAAATACCCTCAAAATCTTTTTATACACAGATTCCTAATTTCGAAAGAATTGGTTGGAAAAAAACTTGAGAAGATGTAAAAAAAAGTATAAAAAAGTAATTGAAAAAAAAAAAGAAAAAAGAAAAAAATTTGTTGAAAGCATGAGCAGTACCTAAGAATAGAAGCAATTTTTTTTTCATGAATAATGGAAGTGACAAAGAAATATGAAAAAATAAAGAAAAAAAATAGAAAGATGAGAAAAAGGAGAAGATTCTGCAGCTAATTTCCTAAGAAGCTTACAATAATATGCCGACTCTTTTCTATAATCCTTTTCAATGAGATGAAAGAAAAAAATATGAAGAGAATTTTCGCTCTTTCCTTTTTAGAACGAAGTGTCTTCCTATTCAAACGATGTTTGCGCATTTGAATATTTTAAAAATCGGTACCATTCAGGAAGTACCTAAAACCCATACCAAATAATCTTTTTTTTTAGGTTCCTCTTTTCTTTGCGTGAAAAATAATTTTTTTCCCTCTTTAAAGAAGAAAATCAGATGTTATTTCAAATATTTGCTTCACGCTGGAAAAATTTCGAAGTTGAGTTCTTCCCTGTTTTTCTTCATAAGAGGGATTTTTTCCCTCGGACATCCTTCGCTCCTTAATTTAAATCTAGCATCCTCAGCAACCATGAAAGCCCTAAGAAAATTTAAATTTACAATTTTTTTCTATACCTGGAAATTTTCGCCCATTTGGATACACAGAAAATAGCCTTTATTACTGCTTTCTTTGCGTAAATATTTATCCAACTGCATTGGAAATGTACCTGAAGAAATGCACGTTCTTTAGTAAAACTTTTCCAAGAAGTTCTGTGGAAAGTCCAAACCAATTTCCTTGAGTGTTGTTTTCAATTGAAGAATCCTATATAGAGAGAATTATTTTTCTCCCTCTTCTGAAATATTTTACTCTTGCCCTTTTTCTCTTCCTGAAACATTTGCTTAATATTTCACTACGTATTTTAAATATATACGTAAATTTATAAGAAAGGCAGGAGGCAAGGCGTTCTTACCAATCACTGTAATTGGATGGGTCGTACTTAAAGAAAACAGAGTGAAAAGTCTTTCTGAACATCTTACACAAATATGTAGTTAAATTAATTTGAATATTTGTTTGAAAAAAGGATTACAAAATTCTGGTGCTCTGCAATAGGCTTTCTTCATCCTAAAATCAAACATTTTATTAATATAAATAACTTTATACCTCTTACAGTTTCTATGAACTATTTTAAGATTTTTAGGACTAACTATGATACAAAAAATATTCTGTCGACTCTCGATAATTCGAGGTTGGAGGGACCAATGAAAAACTACGAATTATCCAGAGAGTAGGAAAAAAATACCAAAACACACGAAGATAAATTTTTTTCTAACACATTTAAATTTGAAGCTATGTAATAAAACAGTAAATGTATGTATAAAATTATTTAAAAATATTTTTAAAAATTGCATATTAAACAGTATAAATATTATACAGAAGTTAAGAGTCCTGTATTAAAAGAATACATTTGTATATTAAAAACAATTATTAAAAGCATACTTTTCATAATTAATCTTTTTCTTTGACGAAAAACTCTTGTTATCTTCAAAAATTAGTTCCATCAGACACTATCCCCAACAACATTGGTTCTTCAAGGCAGGGTCCAATACAGCTCATGCCCTATTTGGTGCCATATGCCGTAAGTCGCACAGATGAGTCCTAAATCGTCATAAAATTCCGACGCAAAATATACAATCTTACACATCTCTTCTTTACAATAGCGAACCATCCTTTCTGAACAAATGTGTTAAATGAAAGATATGGACGGCTGACGACAAGGGCGGCCGGTTTATTGTCCACTTGAAGAAGGGAAGCAATAAAAGTTCCTTTTTGCTTGAGGAACCGGGAAACAAAAAGAAAGAATGGCAGACAGATGGTCTTCAAAGGGGCTACGTTGCAGCGGAGACACGCAGAGACAATACAACTCAAAACATGTAAGCTCTTTAGCCTGTTTGCAACAGGAATCTACATGATAGTGAGTGTTCAAATTATCGAGAGTTATGTAAGATAACTTCGAATCATCACGTGTTGTAGTCAAGCTAGCTGCTGATTTTACTTTGAAATATCGAGTGTACCAAAATGTATTGTTTTAGTTCAAAATATAGAGAGTTTTTCTTGGGGCTGAGCATATACTTCGAGTTAGCAAGATGCTCGAATTATCGAAGATTTTAATGAGCGAGAGTCGACTGTATTTGTATTGGCGCTAATGCGATTAAAAGATGATATATTTACAGTTAATATAATAATATTAAAATTATTTTTTATGATTATATATTATAAAAATTTATAAAAATATAAAAATAAATTATAAAATTATAAAAAAATTTATTTATTTTTTTTACAATATGTCTTTAAAATAAAATGTCCTATAAATTTTAGATAACTTTTTTTAGATAACTGATTTAAATCATTTTTTTATCTCTCTCTCAATAAAAAAAGTTTTTCAGGATGCTGTAAGAAATTTATTTCACTGCTCTCTTGGCGGCGACGTTGGCGATCATTAAGATAATATTACGCAACAGCAGGGGTGTCAAACTCACGGCCGGTGGGTTACATGCCACCCTCAACGAACGTTTTTGCGACCCAACCAGTATACCCGGCACACAATATTATATAATAAAATAAAAAGATTTCTTCCAAAATAGGAAAAATAGTGGTAGTGAAGAAATGTCAAGTGCCAGGACTTAAACATTAAAAAAAATTAGGGGCAATTTAAAGGTAAAGGTGATTAGGAACACTGATTTTGAAGATGCAATAAATTGAAGTGAAAATTAAAATGTAGAGGTGAAGACTTGAAATTTATTTTTCCTGCTTAACAATATATTGAAACGAAATATTCTTTTAATTGCATTCACACTGATCTCTTGTTGATCTACTTTAAATATTATTTTAAGATATATTCTTCTAAGTGTGTGTATAGAATAGGGTTCTACGAAAACACTACCTAGTTCTAAGGGTTCTATGAAAACACTCTCTAGTTCTAGGGGTTCCGTGAGTTGAAAAAGTAGACCAACTCTTCATCACGATTAATTTTAGGTGGAACAAAGACTTGAACCTAATATAATTGACAGAGAGGGTAGACTGAACTTCAGAGTTATCACAATTAGTACGGCAATTGGAAGGGTTATATATCGGGTTAGTTTTAATACAAGTGTTCGAAATTGAGGTCTGTTGCTACAAATATAGACTTTTAGATTCACTTTGATCATGCTTGGATGAAGAGAATAGAATTCTAATTCAGATGTAAACCTCGTTATGTAATCGGGTTCAAAATAGCGTGGTATATTTGTCCATGATTGGCCTACCGAAAACTTTAAGGAATGTCACGAATCGTAATTGAGGAGAGAGGATTTGCTTGGTTATTATCTTATTGGATAGCATTAGTGATTCATTAATTACAATAAATAATAATAATAAAAGGAATTATGTAGCAAAGAGAAAGAGAAAATTTAATTTTTATATATCTATAGACTAAAGAAAAGCGATTGAGTAGTAACAATCCTAAAAAAATTCTTATTTGTTTTTGATAATATTTTTAACATCAATTTTTTTCACATAAAGGCATATTTCTCATTGGCTCTCATTTCTTACTCTTTGCGAATTTCTCTCAAACTTTCTTCTATAAAAATGTTTGTAATTCTGGAGTCATTTTAATGAGCAATTCGGTATTTTATTTACTTTTCTGTTTATACGT